ACTACCAGTGGTAAGACGTTTAGTGGTATGAGAGGTGTAGTAGGAAATCAACTAATATCGGGAAAAGACACCGATAGATAGATCGAGGCTGCTCAGGTGACAATATGTCCAAAAACGAAAAAGACAGCTATAACATCGCCCTTCCTCACTGCTAGTGTGAGACAAGCACCAGATCTTCCATTTCATGGAATTAGTTCGGATACAACGGTGAGCACTTAGCTTCTCTTCTTGCTTTTCCTACTCTTTCCTGTGTTGTCTTCCAATCGTCGAACCCTTTCTGTCAGATCTTGAAGCATATTTAAAATTTCGTCCAATCGGTTCTTGTCCTGACCGCGGCTGCCACGGCCATAATTCGGACTTCCCTTCCTCTTGGATTTGGTACGGTGGGTTCCACGGTCGAATGAGTGCTGTGGTGAATCACTGGAGGAGTCGGATTCATCTCCAGACCCCTCACTAGTGTCGCTTTTCTGCCTCCTGGAATTGGCACGGCGATATCCATGGTTGGATGAGCGTCGCCGTGAACCACTATAGGAATCAGATTCATATCCAGACTCTCCACCACTGTCGCTTTCTTCATCCGTTTCTTCGTATTCGGAAAAATGCGACCTCCTCTCCTGCCACGAGTCGGGGGCGACAGAGCATTGACGCAAGTACCTCCCAAAGTCCCTACTCGGCGACGATGACTTCCGGACGATTTGTCCGTTGTGCCTCTTCTCTGCATATTCTGCGTGTATGAAAAGTGTGATGTCCGCCGCTTTTTTTTTAGCCCGCAAGATGCTTCTGTACGTGTTGCGGTTGATCACGCATTCGACCTTTTCTTGGGAGCCTTTCTTCTGAACTTCACAGAAAATCAACGTGTAGCTAAAGTTCTGTGCTCTCCTGCCATTCGATTTGTTTCTGATTCTTAACCGCTGGTGCACTGGCTTTTCTCCGTCACCTGGCGGATCAATGGACCAGGAACACCATATCTTTTTCCGGGGATCGATTTCGTCGAGTCCTTCACCATTCTTATCGATCCACGCGACGCCGCGAACGGCAGTAACATCTTTCCATGTGTATACAGGCTTTCCAAGCTCGTTCACGCGTTCAAGCTCCCGAAAATTAGGGTGCGTAACACAGTTTTCGGATCGGATATCGGGCTCTTTACCACGCCAATCCACATCCAACACGATTCTGTACTTTGGAGCGTCATTGCTGCCGTATTTGGCAACGTAGTACCTTTCTCTATTATAGATCAGCCAGTAAATGAACTCTCCCTGGTCGTGCTGCTCCGCAGAAAAGAGATCAATCGGTGTACCAAATCTGGAGTAGTTTGGATCATGCTGGGGGTTATAAGCTTCAACTCTATGAGAATTTTTGGCTTCATTATCATCGCTGGACAAAGAGAGCTGTCCGGCTGTCTCACCGACCTGTTCAGGGCTCTCTGTCTTTACTTCTGGGCCGGTTGTCCCAGATCCAGGGGCGTTGCCATGTTCTCTCTGCTTGCCCTTACGATTGGCTAATCCGAGGTTCTTGTTGCCTACGGGCCTCGATAATCCGTTCTTGGCTCTATCCTTCATTATTTTGTCGATTCTAGCCGAAACTTTAATGGAACCTCGGTCTCGAACATCCGACATCTGCAGATCCTCGGCATCCTCCGCTGGGGGATTGCCTTGAGACGAAAAGCTATCAGTGGGGCCTTCTTGCAACGCAGTGGCGTCCTGATTGCCATCGGTATGTGTGACGGCATCGCTTTCTGTCGTTGAAGAAAGATCTGGAGGTGAAGCGGCATCAGTAGTGCCTTCCGGTGGGGCAGAATTCCCAGTTTGACCTGGTTCATTCCCATCTTGATGTTGTTGACTCATTGCGAGATGGCTGAGTGGGACTACTGAATATTGCAAATAGCTGGGTTTTTTGATCTTGTGCGTTCACTTTTAACTTGTAATCCAATGCTGTTTGGATAGCTTCGATGCTGATCCCAGTGTTCTTTATGATATTTCATGGCAGCAGAAATTTATTTGATGTCTGATTTAGACAGACTACCATTTTTTGTTTGTTCCGTATTTCCTTTCCAGTTACCCATCATTTTCTATCTTCCCACTAGTTTCGAGCCGCTCTAATCAGGTACTCCAGAAACATCCTCGTACTGCAAATGTTTTAGTGCTTGTAGCTAATACTGTCGTTCGACACCGCAGCCTCCTCAAACTATTTTATCAAGTGTAGTGATTGAAATTCAACGCGGAAGTTGGGCACTCACAATTGTGTATACATAGCCTTCATACCTGGTCTTTGTTGTGAAAAACGTAATTTGTGTCCACTCAGTCCTCATTACTCAGTACTCGATGTGTGAAAGTAAACTAATTTAAAGTTACTTATCCTAGTCGGAGAGCTCATGGAGCGTAAAAAGTGCCTATGAACCTTCGTCGCCATTGTCGTCGTTGATTTCGTGCAGACTATTGTGGAAACCGTTATGTTGATGTCCTGTTGAGTCTGCGGAGGATTCAGACAATACATGGTCAAGTTCTTCTTACTCTAGTCCTTGAGTAAATTTTATAGGTGATTATACAGGTCATAATCACGTGGTTCAGAGGCTGCTTGGCTTGATTATCTACTACACGGTTGGATTTAACATTTACTTTAAGATAGCTATTAAAAGCACTCACCCGCTACCAATTTTTTTTACTGTTATTATTCAATTTCCAACTAGATGTGGGGTGACTTAGGTTTCCATCATACTTTCTATATCACTGAAAGTCCCACCAGCGTTGATAGACTACTAGGATCCCTCGCTATCATGGAATTTGTATAACTTCAAAGTCTCTTCATGAATCAGCAATGTCTCTAATCTAAATATTGTTTAGTAAACACTTCCGACGTGATACAGAAGCGAGTCGCGGAGAACTTTGGGATTACTTCTCTGCTGTTTACACATAGGACTCTGGAAAACTTTCAAAAAGCGAAAGGTAGCCGTAAGGGCTTTACTGTACAACCTACCCTTCTAGAGTCGTAAGTTAGCATAAGCCCCTAAGCTCATGATTTCAGTATTCTTTGTGGGTTATTGGGCAGAATCTTTGTGTATTGCCTCACGATTTAGATACAAATTGAACACTTCCTGTTACATCGTAACAAAAAGTTGTCATTATCTTATGACGCTATCTAACTCGGTATTGTGTATCAACACTTAAAGTGATGAATATAAAGGTATTAGCACACCATAAAATGCTCGGCCTTGAATGAATAGGGCCAGTATTTAAAAATAAAAAAATTTATAGCCGGAGTCGTGCTACGCACGCTTCTAGAACGGTACTTCTCCGCAGCAGCTATCTAAGGACACTACTGAGGGAGTGGAAACAGTTGCAATGTACCAGCCGCAAGAAACATCCTTGCTTCTGCTGATCTGATAATCTTGATGTTGAGACACGTCGTGTACCACTCGTTCTTTCTAGTGGGATACGTGGGATCTATACCAGCCTCTGTACACCATTCCCAAACCAAGTACAAGGTATAAGTTGTCCCCGTTGGTAAATATGATGGTATTCTTACACCTGTCTCGCAGTATTGCTTGTTATTAGACCCAGACTATCAAGACGAGTGGGTTAAGAAGATTATTTAGCGCTCAAGAGAGAGTGGACCACTATTAAGCTGATAGCAGCGGCCATCATCGAAATCATTCCACGCGAGTAGCCTATCTATCCTGACTTTCATCGCAGTTGCCATTCTAATTCCATTGCAGGTCGTCCATAATTTTCTCGTCCTCTTTCAGAGTTGAGGTCCCATACACAGACACGGTGCGTCCTTTCGCGGGCTTGCCTTCGGTTTTATCGGGAGGGGTCACATGACCGTTCTCTGTATATCTCATCGAGATTAATCCGCCTGGTTTTGCGGCGAGACGAGGCCAGAAACTGCTTTGAATGTGACTTCTTTGTGAGGGATGACGCAGATAGTCGGACCCGTTAATGTGCAAGTGTCCTGAGCTAAGCGATGGCAGCATGTAATCGTTGGATTTTGCATAATACGTGATTCTGCTTCGAGGTACTTAAGCTCTTCGGTATCCGTAGTTGCTTATAAGAATACGTCCAGAGATATGGCAGAGGCCTAGTTGATCCAGGTATATGCAACCACTGCTGGGATCGTGAATATCCTACGTGAAAAAGATGAATTTTACAATACATATCCCACTGAGTGATCCACGCTATTACCGTGCAGACAGTCCAGTTGAGCGATAGGTTTGCTTCCTTTAAAAGTTTTTCTATACTCTACTACTATAGCGAGCGTGATATTTGATGTAGAAGAACATACTGCATGTCGCTCCTCTTTTTTTTTTTTTAGTGGACAGAAGATTGAGACTAGGTACTGTCTTCCTGGAGCCACGCCATGCCATCGAACATATTGTGTGTGCGTGTGTGTGCTATTGTTGTTGTTGTTGGGTTCTCAACGAATATTGATGGCTTTGTATGAATCTTTGGATTCCAATGATGCATAAATGGATACTTTATTTATGTGATGACGTCGCGAGACTTTTTAGATTTCAGCCAGTGTCGTAAGACCTGGTTCCTTCTCCCACTTAACTTCTGGTAGAAGTGTTGCAATGGGTGGTGGAAACGAATGGTATTGTCATGCACTGGATGAGTGGCATGAGGACTGAGAGGGTGGTAAGCCGGGGGCGGCTTGTATACCCTGAGGTCTGACTAATCTATCTACCAACGTGATCACGTACATCGTGCAACAAGAAGATAATACAATGATTGAACTGAAGGTAATTATGATCTACCGACTCTACATACAGAGGCATATTCGTAACAATAGGACATTTCAGCAGCCTGGTGAGGCCATAGGTTACTGGGTGATTGAATTTCACTATTATCCGCATGCAGGATAGCTCACCTGTATAATTAAGCGATGTCACACTTGGATGGCAACACGCTGTTCTTTCCCCGTATAAATTTGGTCCGTCTGACTTGAACGGACAAAGTACACTTCAACCTTGACAAAACTACCCAAAATATCCCTCGAATACCACAATGAACCAACCCAAAGACTCTAATGACGTGGAATGGTTCTTGAAAGAGCTATCCAAGATGAGCGACAACAACGGTCAAGCGCAACCCGATCATAGCAGCACACCTAAAAACTTTGCTTCTGGAATTGATTCTTGGGGAGGTCTGCAAATGGAAAGGGAGGGTGATAGTTTTGGTACCGAGTGCCTCATACCCAACGACTGGAAGGACACTGGTGTTAATGCAACAGACAACCGTGCTGTGTACCTCAACGAGACAGCCATGATGGCACCTCCCCTTGGGCTTGAAACTTTACCTCTGCCAGACCAAGCGACAACCCATAATACCACCAGCGGTTCAATCCTAGAGAGCGTAAGGCAAGAGTTGAAAAGGAGAGATCATGAGATGCAGCAGGTCAATGCGAAGCTGATGACTGTAGAGGAGTACATAAAGAACACAGCTCGGTGGATTGAAACACACAAGGCAATCACAATGCCTCCAGATCACTCTACACTGATATCGTGGCCAAATGAAGGACCCACCGGAGGAATCCACATGACAGCTCTAGATGCCATGAAGCGCAAGCAAGAAGAAAGAGATGGAGAACTACGTGAGATCAAAGAAAAAATCGGAGCCATTGAAGATTATGTCATTCAAGCAACGCAGTGGATGAAGAAGTTACATGAAACTATCTCGCGCTGGGCAGATTCCCCCTAAGCTCAAATTAACTTAATTTATACTTATCACCTCTGATCAAATGGACACAAATCTTCCAGATCAAGATAGCTATGATGGAGTAAAGGGTACAAGCCGTGCCCGCTGCCAACATCACTATCTAGCCTAATCTACTAAGACTCCAATAAGAGAGTGAAACAGCAAAGTCAATCATATTGGGCATCAAAGACGGGTCGAAAGTCAACAAAATCAAGTCACACAGTGAGTGGGAACACAGGTACTGACGTATGAGCAGGAATTGAGTCGAATAAGAAATCTATTTCAGAAATAAACTGTTCTAGCTCAAAATAAAAGAAGTAACCAGCTTCATCGGCAAATCTATAGCATGAGTGATTTTCGAGTTGATGTGTAGAAAATGCAAAATGTACGCAATAGTGATATGCCGGATCGTTGCGCCTTAGCCTAGACATTTACTGACTACGTTCATCGATGCATGGTACCACATATTACTGCTTCAGCGGTTTTTCAAAGACTAATAAAAAGTAGTACGATAGTTGGCCAGTCTAAGGTCGGTTTCACCTAACGAATTATACACAGGAGCATGCTCCACAATGCACTTGTAACGGTAGGCTCCTTCCACTAAGCTTCGGAGTCGCTTAGCAGGTGGTTTAACCGTAAGGGTTTACCTTGAAGAGACAAGAGGGGGAAGACAACGATGGGACAAGAGAGTATCACGTGATTGTGCGATGCACAGTGAGCCGGTTACCTCTAACCAAAGGGTCTTGTTTAGAACTTTGAATTGACCACGGAGGGTCAAGTGTCTAGCTAAGGAGTGTGTCTATATACTGTAGGAAAGCTAGTTACAATCTGGTGTTGCCCGGTGTCGCCCGGGCTCCTCAGGGCGACATGTATCCGACTTCCCGCCTTGCCGAACGGTCGTGATGTCGTCCTGTATCCTACCCGTTCCCCTTGTCTGCCCGCTTTCCGGCTTCCTGCCTTCCTGCGCTGCTTTGGGAGGATTATACGCCTAGACCAGTGGTTCCTAATCTGGGCCTGTGGTCCTTCGTCCCGTAGGGGATTCTCTGGCCCGTGCCTCCTTCTGAAGTTGCTGCGCCCTTAAGAGCGTCCTTCCCGTACGGGCCGCGGCTGCTGCCTGCTGGTGTTCCCGTACGCGCCGTCATCCCGTGTCCCCCAGATTCCCGTGTGGGGTCTGAGGCCGTGCGGCTCTTTTGCCCGTGAGGCTCTTCGGCCCCTGCGGTGCCTTTTCCCGTGCGGGCTTTCTTCCCTTGGGGTCATAAAGCCCGTGTCCCCTGGGGTTCGTAACAGCACTGTACCACTATATATATCCATATCTATGTTGTGATACGTGAGATAACATACATGCACATATTAGCACTACGTTTCTGCACTATAACCTCCCCCACGGCATGACGAAAAACCCTGTGTGCCGAAAAAAGCCCGAGGTACCTCGGACTAACAGCAGCTTTATAGACGTATCTGTGTAAAAGTTCTTATGAAACCATGCAGGGCATACTCTATGAACGTTTTTCCTACTTAGAAAAGTTTTCGAATTTAATCATACACAGGCGCGGCTGTTCCCTTGCCTGATTACTACAGGATAAGGTTTGATGCCGCGAACGATATTGCTCTACTTTAGCACCACAAATGCTTTTTTCCACTAGATAAGCTAAGTATAGAGGCGCATATACTATTTTGTGTTGGTTAACCTACTGCTGTAATATTACCAACATGATACGTGTTGTAGCAGGAGAATCCGCCATGCAGGGCGATACTTGTCAGCGCAGCTTCGGCTAGGTGTAATGTATTGGATAGCAGTTACGAAGCATACCGGCTGTGAAAACTGACTATCTCATTGGATAACGGTGGTCTGAATCGTGCGCTTCAAGCGAGCGGGACCCTAACTCAGCAATTGCGATGATGAGAAGATGAGCTGACCTAGCTTTACATACTTTACAGCTAG